AGGCTCCTATTTCTATGCAGTGCAAGGGTATACTCAGCTTTGGTGAGACAGCACCAACCTATACACTGGGGAGCCAGTGTTGCTCAAGGAATATGAGCTGCTGGGTCGGCTGTCCAGAGAGCCAGGTGCCTGGGAACATCCTTCCACCTGTTGTGCCACAGTAAAATCCCAGTGATTTTACTAATCCCAGTAAAATGCCCTTTGGATTTCCCCACGCTCAGTGGAGAAAAACTGATAGACAAGAGCTGACTATTGCTGTTGCATGCCAAGTTAAAGGCAATCAAGATTAGAGCTCCCATCACCTTGTGGCGGGCAAATGTGAGGGCAGCTCGCTCCCCAGGGATACCTGTGGCCATGGAAAATAAAAGCTGGGGAGAACATGATCAGACAGTGTCCACGGGGTGTTACCCGCTCAACGTTGTCTCTCCTAAGGGCGCACAGGAGCACTAGGTGGGATTTAGCTGGTGGAGGGACAACGTGATGACAGGCATCCCAATGTTTCCAAGAGTTCATAGCAGAGCTCCAAGGAAACTGAGATGTGTTACCCAGACATACAAAAATATACACATCCCTGTGAAGGCAAAGGTCCTTTGGTAAGTTGCAGGTGTGTTTAATATTTAATATTTTCATTACCCTTTTCTTTCTCCAGGCAGCTTGTAGCAATTATGACCTAAAGAAAGGCTGTGCAAAGATCTTTGACCCCGTTTGTGGCACGGACAACATCTTATACAGCAATGAGTGTTTGTTGTGCTTTCAGAACCTGTGAGTATCTGGATATCTGGATCCTGTGCAAGTATAAATACCATGCAGACTAGGGCTATGAGGTATGCCTGGGAATTCCTAGAAAGAAAGATGTTCACATGCAGCTGGGTGGAGGGTGGGCATCGAGCCCAGCACATCTGGCACAAATTTGGCCTCCCACACAGCTGCTGCAACCGCTGCTCTGAGCACGTGGCACCCATCTGCAAAACAGGTCTGTTGTGTTTGACTCATGGCACATGGGATGCAGCACTGATCTGCCCACAAGCAGGGACCGCATGGCCAAAATTTCCAAATACTTACAGCCATGCTGTAGCAAGTGCAGAGACTGCACTGGAGGGTGGCCAGAAACTTGGACAAGTGGCAAAATCCTCACAATCTGCCCAGATCTAGCAGATCCAGGCAGAAAAAGATTCTTCCAGGTGACCTCAGATGCGTGGTGCTGAGGAAAAACTATAGTTTTCAGACAGGGAGTTCACAGCTGAGCTCTGCTTTCAGTTTTCTCTGGATATGCAAGGTCATTTTTTTCTCTGGGTATTTTTACGAATGAATCTTTCGTTTAGTCTGTGCTAATGCCAGATTCCACCGCCTTAGCAGAAGGCCAGGTCCAAATGCTAGCAAAATATCTGGCAAGACTTGATTCATTTTCTCTGGTTTGGGCTGTAGGTGATTCTGAATATATTTTTACACTGCAAGTGCTTCGTGTCAGGCAAGCAAAGGAATTCCTTCCAACTCAATGCTATTAAGTGGTTCAAAAATCTCTGTTGGAAAGGTTGAATCTGATCTGTAACCAGATACTGCAGTCTATGGGGGCTAAAGGAGTTTTACCCTTCATATTGCCTGGCGGAGGCAGGGTTTTCTGGTGATCAGGCTGTCAGTAGTGTGAGTGCCCATCTGCCGTCAGCAGAGACATCTCCGATGGGCACTGAAATTCCAGGTTTCCTGTTCCTGGAGGAATTGTGGAGCCAAATTCTGCCTTTAGGAGGAGTCAGTCCAAGCTAGCGCTGGAGTAACAAAGAGCAGAGCCTGGGTCACCAAAAAAGAACCCTGGAAACCAATTCGTGGTCTGGCTATCCTCTCTTTCCTCCGTTAATCCACGTTTCCAGGTTAATGCAGGCTTCTGCCCCATACTCTGCTTCTGGACTGTTCAAAGGCTAATTTTACATTTTAAGGCCAAAGAGGATGCTGTTCGGCAGCCAGGTGTTGAGAGGGGTGTCCCAAGAGAAGATAGCACAGCCAGCAACCCGCGCAGCACCAGGTGGAGGGAATGCCACGCAGGGAGCACCCCCATGCCAGCTGCCACCTGCATCGTGTGACAGATGGGGCTGGAGGTGCAGCAGCCCTGGCAGCATCATGGCTTTGTCCAGGAACCAAGAGCTGGTTAAGGAGAGCAAGGAAGCATTCGGAGTAGGTGCACAGGGAGCAAGGTGGCATTGGGCCGCAGGGTGAAGGGACGAGGAATCCCCGCGTCCCCCGGAGAGGAGCACGCCTCCAAAGCGGAAGGGAGATGTCAGTGGTGGTGGGAGGGAAGGTTTGGGGCTACAAAAGAGCAGTGAGGCAGAAGCAGTGAGGAAGGGAAGCTGAGGGCAAGCCTAAGTGGGACACAATAGTGGCATTTGTCTGTAAAAGCCCACGCAAACAAAGTCATAACTTTTATCATCTGCAGCCAGACAAGCATTAGCGGTGTCTTACAACTGCCATACAGCAAAGAGGTGAATTATTCTGCCAGGAGGTGTCAGGAAGTGCTAGCTCCTGGGCTTATTGGAATTAATTAACTCATGTGCAAGGTAACCCCGAGCTGGCTGTCAAAAATGCATGGGCTTCCTTACGACTAATACTGTTTACCATTCCTTCTTTATCACCTGAGTCAGGCTTCTCTGTGTATCAGGGACTTTAAGGCACTCTCTAGCATTTTTAACCTCTTTTCTAGGCAAAGGAAAACTAATGTGCGCATAAAGAGAAGGGGAACGTGTCAAGAGCCTTCCCCACGTTCCGACTCCACTCAAAACTAAAAATCCACCACTGTGCTGGAGAAGACAGCACAAAGATGTCTTTAGCCTATATTAAACCTCTAATAAAATGGAAGCATTTCAATATCTTGCACTGGGATTTCTCACATACCACCCCCGTCCCTCCCCACCCCTGCCTTCCCTGACATTTAAAATACCTTCCAGTAAAATATGGGCTGTTTTTGTAACATTCATAAACAGCTGTGAGCAAATTATTAAGAGAGACCCAGGGAAAAAGGTTGGGACGTTCCCAAGGAAAAAGCCAGGCTCTGGCACAACAAGGGGACCCTGCTTTGCGCAGAGAATTTTGTTTTCTTTTCCTAAACTTCCAGCACCGGTGCAGCAGGAGGTGGGTCTCCTCATGACTTTCAGTGTACCGGGCACGAGCGCCGATGCTCCAGGCTGCTTGCCGGCAGGAAGAGTCCAGCCTTTCCGCCCGGTCTGAAGGACCTCCTGCCTCCTCTCTTTTCCTCGGAGAGCTTCTTTGAGGCTCTCCTTTGGGGCAGGGACCCCGGGCCAGGCCTGCTCGGGGTGAGGTCCGGCAGCGGGAGCAGCGGAGGACGAGGGTGCCGGCTCCCTGGATGGAGAGAGGGAGGAGGTTTTGGCACTGGAGGCCGCTGTT